GACATCAGGTGAGTCAGAAGAGAATTTGGGTAGTCCCGGGATTGCGTGAGATCCCTCTTTCCACACTTTTCTGGAGGGGGGTGGTCTCCGTTTCCAAAATCTAAAATAAATCTGCAGCATTCCGTAAAGTCTCTCCCACACCCTTCCAGGGGCTGTTCTTCCTGCCCCTCAGACCTTCCTATGACTCCTGTATTCCTCGGCCTTCTGTTTTGGGCTCACATGGGCTTGTCCAGTCAGATAGACTTGAATGTCATATCTTGGTTCTCAGCCACACGAATGAAATTCTGCAGCAAGATGGATGTGTGTTCGGATGAGTACCTGCTGGAGTCATTCAGTCTGACTGCCCAGAGAGGCCCCTCTCCTGGGCACAGCCGCTCAGAGCTGCTCCCCATTTGAGGCTGACCCCGACTACGTTGAGAATAGTGTCCAGGTCCCCCCGTGTATCTCTATGGTCTTGGTCTTCCATGCTTGACTGCCAGGAATAGATCAGCTGTGGACTTCTTTCACAGATGAGAACCCCAGATCCTCAGCCTTAATTAATAATATGTTAATGTGAAATGACTTACCATTCACTTGAAGATGTAGGCCTAGAGAACTTAGGAAATAAAGTGAGTTTAAGCTTAGCACCTCTCTTACTTGCTTTAGAGGTATTTTCAGAAGTGGTGAGAAGATCGCAGTGTGGTCACACGTCGGGCAGACTCTGCTGGGTGTGCATGCGTACAGTCTAGAAGCAGGGGCTGGTGTTGCTTGACTGGTGCCAATTCGTGACATTTTTTTCAGAAATACAAATGAAATTATGCATTAGCCTTTTTTGGATAGGGTGTGTGTGTGTGTGTGTGTGTGTGTGTGTGTGTATGTATGTAAAAATAAGCATCAGAAATTGACATAAAATACCATAATTAGATCTGTAGAGTTATTTAAGATAATTCATGAAACATTTGGGGGTAGCTGGTTTCTTTGACTAATGGTTTCACTCAGAGCAAGTCGAAATGCCTCAGAGGGTAACCACTGGACCAGGACTGCTCCCGCGGGGAGTGAGATACTCCAGGGGCCACAGTGAGCCACTGAGACTACTTCCATGGGGCCATGGAGCACTGGTTTGCGTCAAAATTAAAACCTGTGTCTTCATGTGTTTACCTTTAAAGGCAAGGGCATGTCTGTGTTGATCCCCAAGCTATATATTTATGGCAAAAACAGGATTTTTAGCCCTTCATAATTTTTTTCTTACATCGTAGTTAGTTGATCTTTTATTGTTTGGTATTTAGAAAAATTTTAATTGATATTTAAAATTGAGTATATACGAGAGATTTGCTCTCTTGGGAGAAAATCAGAAACATTTTACTTCTGAAACAAGATTGTTCTTCAGCCAATTTTTGAAAGATTTTGTGACTCGCGGGTAGCAAAGATGAGGACTGGGCAGGCAGGTGTGTTTTCTGGCTGCTGCACTGGCCATTTGGAGAGCACAGGCACAAGCCCACTGTAGCCAGATGCTCTTCATTTTTTCAAATAATTCCAGAAACCACAGATTTTTAGAAGATCTCTCCCAGATTCTGCCTTAAAAAAGAAATCATTGTGTACTCAGGAAAAATCATCTACGAGCTCAACCCAGACTCCAGGCCGCAAGTCTTAACCACATTCATGTGGCCAGAACTCGGTCACGTAGTGTATCTTGAGTCCACAGTGGGGGGTTTGGTGTGATTGCGAGAAGGAGAGCCTCACACACTGCAGGGCCCTGAGGTTGGGCTTCCGAAGAGCTCTGCCCACCTGCTTTGGGTCTTGCGCTGAGTCGGCAGTCACACACCAGGAGCACACAGTCTTGCCGTAAGGTTCTTCACAGGTCCCAGTGGGGTTCCTTGAGGATCCCCTCAGGAGCCAAACCCCAGAGCTGCTCCCCAGCAGCTTTATACATTGAATGTGCTATGCTTGAAAGTTCGCTTGACAAATAGCTGGAAGCTTGAGGACCCGGGGACCCGCTGCAGACACGTGGCCAGCTCCATCACATGGGTTTCCTACAGTGTGTACATTTCAAGGAACCTACTCTTCTCCTTCCACAGTGGCTATTTGGCCTGGACATGAAGAGTTTGTTGACCTAAGACGATCTCTTTGTCGGATACCCCCGTTAGGACACTGCACGTGTTCCTGTCCAAGTTCAGACCAAGTGGGCTGCACTGTGTGCGAGTGGATACCCTAGGGCTTCTGCTGTGTGTAGTCAGGGACAGGTGCACTTGGGAAACTCTGCCTTTCAAGGGAAGTGTGTCAGGAGGTTTTTAGGCTGGTTGTCGTCTGGGAGCCACTCCTCGGAAGGGAAGCCACACTGTGGGCTTAAGTGTCGTCCTGGCATCATTGGCTCGAAAACAGACAGTGAAGGTGTTTGGGTACTTGTGAGCCTTGACCTTGTGTGCCTCAGGCTGGTGTAAGAAGAGGTTTTGTGGACAGAATGCACGCTTGATCGTGACTTGTCACTGGTGTGATTGGGCCGCACAGAGAGGAAAGAATCATCTCCTCAACTTTTTTGCCAAATGGCAGGTGTGCCCACAGGCAGTTAGGCTTTGAGGCAGGGGGTTGCTGGCTCAGCGGTGAGGTCACATCTTGTGTGGATCTTCTCTTGGTCCCCTCTGTCCTCTTTCCAGCTTTTTCTTTGCCCTACCATAAAAGTATTAGCAGTTTCCTCGGGCCCCTATCTGCCGAGAATTCATGTGATGAAAGTAGAAATGGTTTTGAGGTCTTAGGGTGGGTGGGGTTTGTCCTGAACGTGGTTCTGAGTGTAGGTGTTCGAGATGAGGATCCTCCCAGGGAAGAGCAGGCCCAGGGTCTACAGGTGTGGGCACCGGGGCTGGTGGAAGTGGCACAGACATCAGTGGGGCAAGGGGAGGGGTGCCCCAGCAAGTCTCAGGGACAGCCAGCCCCAGGTGACTGCCCATCTCATCCCTCTCCCATATCTGCTCCCCACTGTTGAGCCCAACAGGAAGCCAGTGGTTGCAGCCTAAATGGGTACCCTCCTAGGAGAGCAGGGCAGAGGAAGAGGATGGTGGGAAGGTGGCCAGCAGACACCTATATGGACATTGGCTGCAGGGGGAGACCCATACTGCGCTGCCCAATGGGAGCACCTCGTCCGCCCCCCCAGATGGTGCCCTGCTGTGGGTCTGAGCCCCAAAGAAGCATGTGGTCTGTCCCTGATTGCCACCCCCACTGACTGTGAGCTGCTCCTCTGTGTCTGAGCTGCCAGATGCCTGGCCCTCCTCCCCAATCTGCCATGGGGGATCGGCCCCCGAGTGGGTGCAGGAATCCTGGCCAGCAGCATCAGTCATGATGTGTGCTTACAGGATTGGAGGGCCTGAGTGGGCCCAATAATCAGCACCTCCGTGGTAGGGGGGAAATGGCTAAACTGGCTTGGACCCTGCAGCCAGACGGGGAGCCAAGAGCGGGCCCCTGACCTGCAGTCCTGCGCGCTGCCCGAGGGCACCTTTGACAGCAGGCGTCTGAGGTGGCAAAGAGCTCCAGTTGTCGGTATCATGTTCGTAGTGATTTCTGGGTATCTGAGCTTCAGCAGGTGCCCCCAGGATGTCATGTGCGCCCACGTTTCCAGAGGAAGGTCTGAAACAGCAGGTGTTAGGGCAGGGCCTGGGGGGTCTGCGTTCCTAACGAGCTCCTGGCCGAGCACTGGTCTGAGAGCCACACTCAGGAGGGTCTGGGTCCGCCCATGCTCCAGGTCCTGAGGTGTTGCTTTCAGCTTTTTTCTGGAAGTGGGTAGAGCTGCCTGGGAATAGTTTTCCTCTGTGACATTCAAAGTGTGCCCAGTTCAGATAACAGCATAAAATCAGTATCCCATTTTAAGGTAGAAATATATTTTTTGAAGCATCTCATCTCTGTGGACCACTTGTTTGTTGCATGGCTCACGTAGGCATTTCAGTAGATGATCTTGGGATCACAGTCCAGTCGGTTGTCAGTAGCAGAGCCCCAGTTCCCACATCTTGATGGCTCACCGGGACCACCAGAGTTCTGTGGGAAATGTGCATTCTCTCCAGCCCCAGCCCCAGCCCCAGGCCTTCGGAATCAAAATACAAATATTTTGAAGCCTCTGTTTTTTAAAAGTTCCATGGGCAGTTCTGGTAATTGGCCAGATTTGGGAACTACGAACCCCATCTATGCACTTAAAATCTTGTGCTATGAGAGGCTTCTATTAAAACAATTTGAACTTGATTGGTTCTAAACTAAAATAAGCAGGAAAGTCTAAAACAAAACAAACCTGATCTCTCTGAAGATCTGCATCCAACACATGAATTAATTCACTCACAGACGGTAGGATGGCTGCACTTTAGAGAAAGGCACTGTGTCGTGATTTTGAGTTTATAGTTGATATGACCAGGAGATCACTCTTTCTGATGTTGAGCTCCTGATCGCTATCATCCCACACACAATGGGACCGTTCCATCACCGCTCCATGTGCTGAGCAGTGACGAAGGCTGTCTTTCCTCTGCTGGGCCTCTTCGGGGTAAGAGTGAGCTAACCTGGGTTAAGAGTGCATGTCCTCCGATGTCTCGTCTAGGAGCTTTGATTCGTGTTGACCATAAAGTAGAGCTTCACTGTGAAAGTTGGCTGCCATTTGTGGTCATTTTCCCTTCCATCAATATGTGGACACAGTGGGGGCTCCTGTAGGGTTCGTCTTGCAGGGACTGAGGCTTTCCCCAAAAGTGGGTCTTCCATCTTCACCTCTGCCCCACCTAGAGATGGTGTCGCGTCGGCGTCTTTTTGTTTAGGATTGTGTTGCGTGGTTAGGTTCCTTGGCAGTGTGCCAGCAGGCTCCCTAGGATCTGTTCCACCCTTGTTTTCCTCTTGAATATTGTTCTGTAGGATGCATCCATCTTTCACGTAGGCAGGATGCCAGCTGCTCTCGGTACCGAGGTCCACCACGTGCAACCACGTGGGCGTCTCAGCTGACTCGTGCTGGCTTCTGGGGTCTGCAGTCCGAGGTGGTGTTCACCTGACTTGTTTATTCCTAGGGAATGTCACTAGTGCATCTGGGTCTCAGATGTCCAGCGGCATCAGCCTGGGCTCCTTCGGCAGCCGGCCGGACGGCATGCAGCAGCGCTCCTACTCTGTCTCCAGTGCCGACCAGTGGAGTGAGGCTACGGTCATTGCAAACTCAGCCATCAGCAGTGGTAAGAGAGGGCGCAGCCCCCCGGACCCGCGCCCCCCTCACGGTCCTCAGTATGAGCCAGGAGCCGGATGTGGCTCCCTGGCCGTCCGCGCTCACTCTGTGTGCAGGCCCTATGGGGCAGCTTCGTGAGCCGGGTGTGTGTCACCTTTCATCTGCAGAGCATTTGGTCCTTGACAAAGGTTTCACTCACATCCTCCCATGTGGTCCTATCAGGGAGAAGCAGATTGCCTGCCAGGTTTGGAAAGTGAGGCTGCACACACACGGTCCCGTGACAAGGACGCGAGAAATAATCATAGCCAGTATCTTAGTCACACTTTCCTGTGAGACCCCACACCCATACTTCGAGTAGCACTGCTCATGTTCCATTGTCGTGTGTGAGGTGTGTTTGCTTTTTTCATCAAAGGAAAACACAGAATTCATTCTCCTTATTAGTTTTCCAAAATTCCTGATGCACCTTCTAAATTTGGAGAGTTCCCTGTCACCTTTTTTTTTGATGAGTGTGGGCAGCCTTTCAGGAGATGGGTGTGGACGTCAGAAACCGCCCTGGTGTCTGGGCGGAATCGTGACTGATGTGCCATCCAGGCCGCCTGGCTTTGCAGCCGCGCGCTTTGCCTGTGGCGTTCTGTCTATGGCCCGCTCACCGGTATTTAACGGAATTCCCACTGTTGTATGTCGTCTATCAGACAGGGGTTTAAAGTAATTTTAGCATAATTTGTTCTAATTAAAAGATTCAGCATCAGGTCTTCCCTATAGACCCACCAGATGCTGCAGCAGGACGTTTGCTGTGGGTAAACATCGTCCTTATTTCTAGTTGCTTCCATCTCTCTGGTCTACCCTGCCAAGTGAGGGCTTGCAGTAAGGACAGCTTCAGACTGGTTGCAGGGGAGAAGTGGAGTCCATCAAGGCCGCACCCAGTGGTGCCATGACAGTGTGGGTCTGGAAGGGCGGGTGGCATGGCGTGTATGAACAGAGCATGGCCCCTGTGCCCAGCACGCACCTGCCTCTGGGGCCCCTTCCCCACCCAGAGGAGGATGCTTTGGCAATCGGTGTCCCCTTCCGCCTCTTTAGGGCTTTACGCCCATTGTCTCAGGTCCTGCGATGCCCAAGGACCCCAGGAAAGCGGGTTCTGACTCAATGAGACAAAGCACCTGGAGTTTGGTCCCTTGGAAAGTGACATCTGAGTGTTCACCTCTGTCTCCTGCCCTGGAAGGGCCTGTGCTGGGTCAGCACCTGAACCCCCCGCATGGCGGCCACAAGCCTGTCTGGTCCGAAGCATGGGTGTGCTTCCCTCTTTGTGTGGTTTGGGTGTGAACACAGCACCTGGTCCTGGGTGGCCTCTGTCGCCGAGTGTCTGCTGCTGTCATTACAGTGAGCAAGCAGTTCACATAATTACTGCATCATCAAGGTGCTCTTTCAGTATCGCTGGCCAGCCACGATTGGCCTGTGGCCACCTTTCTGCACAGATGTTTCCAGAGCCTGCTGTGCACACTGCCTTGGTCCCTCCTGGTCAAGCGGGGACCTCTTAGAACTTCCTCCTCCCAGTGCACTGTGGATCCACCACCATGGCCTGAGGAGGGCAACAGGATTGGAGTTCTCCTTATGTGCTATGGGAGTTACATTTGGGAAGAAGGGGGGAACAAAAGAGCAGGTTCTTAAGAAAGACCTCACCCCCAATCTTTGCCTCCCCTCTACTCAGAATGTTTTATAGGGGCGCCTGGGGGACTCAGTGGGTTAAGCGTCTGACTTTTGATCTCATGTTAGGTCTTGATCTCAGGCTCATGAGTGCCAGCCCTGCACTGGGCTCCGTGCTGGGGGTGGAGCCTACTTTAAAAAAAAGAATGTTTTCTAGAAAAGGCATGGGAAGTGGCATATTTGTCTAAATCTGTTCTGTGTAAGCCTTCCTGCTGCACACTTATCTCTTTGATAAAGACTCACTAGGTAACTGTCCCCCCACCCCACGTCATAGCTCTTTGCGCCTAGCTAGGCGTGTGTGCCACAGGCACTCCCCAGCACCAAAGCTTGGGACTCTGTTATTTCCAGACCATCAGTTTGGTTGGAAGTGGCATTGCACGGAAAGAGATGGCATTGGTCTCTACACACACATTTATAAAGTTCCTATAAGAGACGGTGCTCGCCTACATACAAATGGTGTTTTTATATTTACAAAGTGATTTCTCATCTGTTGACATCCTCGAGTGTCCATTCTTCATGTAGCACGCTCAGTAAAACTCGTTAGACTCCATGATGCCACAGGGCCTGAGCCCCGAACATGACACACGAGGAGCTCCAGTCCCGCCCTTTGTTCAGCCCTGTGCCATGGGACACAGAGAACCTGTGGGAAAGCCTGGGCTGAGATTGTGCAGGTAGTTGAGGGATGGACAGTCCATCAAGGAAATCTGAAAGAGAATCCAACTTGAGCAATGCTTACAGACCCGGATGGGGGGTTTTTTGGTGCCAAACCACAAGAGGAAGTTATTATAAGCATTGAGGCAATTTGTACAAGGGCTCAGGGAGAAGGAAAAAGGGAAATGCAACCACCAGGGAGTGGACGTGACATGAAGGGGCTGTTGGGAACGTGCAAGGGGAGATGGGTGCAGATTGGACAAGAAGAGGTCAGAATGGCAACATTAATTAGCATCTTAATTTTAAGGCTTAGAGTTGGCATCACTTACATAGCAAAGATCTGGAAAGGCAGCAGAGCACCGCACAGAAGAGGATTCTTGCAGTTTTCCTCCATCCTTCCTGATTCTTGTATTTTCTGAGGGTTGATGGCATGTCACAACCAACATACAGTTGAAAAGGGAAACAACAGTGGTAATAATAATGAGAGCTGATATTTATGGAGGTCTTCGTGTGGCTGATCTCATTTGATCTTCAGGGAGTAGACACTGATGTTAGCTCCCCTTGGTTAGGGAGATGTGGGACCGTATTGCTTGTCTGGGAGGGGCCGGGATGCAAACCTGAGAACACGTCATAGCTCTTTGCGTGGTGCTTCTTGAGATGTGCTTCCCAGACGAACAGCAGCAGTTACCACCCCTGGAAGTTGGTTACAAGCGCACATTCCTAGTCTCTTCCCAGACCCACTGTCTCTGAGGCTCAGGGCTGGTCCCCAGCAACCTGTGTGTTAACAAACCCTCCATGGAACGGTGTCGCGTGCTGACGTTTGAGAACCATGGCTCTGGGATCAGGCAGTGCCTGGGAGTTCTCTAGAAATGCAGCCATCCAGGCTCCGCCAAGACCCGCCCGGTGGGAGCCTCATGTTCCTGGGATCCCTGGGTACTCTGGTCCACCTGGGCATTAAGAAGCCCTGTCCACACCTGCGGTGAGAGTAACATCCTGGCTTCTTGCTGCTTAGCACCATCCCTGCCTTCTGTGATCCATCAGGTCCCCAGACCCAGAGCAATTTTTAATGAACCTCAGGGCATCAGGTCTGACAGGCGACTTCCAAGAAAACATGTTTATGAATGGATTTCCAGACCTCAACTTGGGCATCAACATTCTCTGCCGTGTTGGAAAATAATCACCAAAGAAACAAACATAATTAAGAGCTTTCTGTCGTACTTTTTTCTTTTCAAGTTGCAATTGATACAAATCCCACTCTCTTTTTTTTAATCATTTTATTCCCCCCTGCCTGTCCCAGGTATCTGGTTTGCATGTCAGAATCATAAAAGCTTACACAGTGCTAGCAGCAGGGACAGGGGAAGCTAAGCTGCTTTTGAATCCAAATGCCCCTGAATTGGTGAATTTGCCTTCCCATTGTCATACACTTTATTATAAAACGTAATAATAACAACATCAGGACTCAATTTTTCTCTGCCCCCTCGTCCACAACTAAATTAAGACTTTGGCTCCAGAGAACTTTTGAAAGGCTCCCCCTCTCTATGCACAGGTACCCTGAGGGGTTTCTCTCTTTTAAGCAGCTGTGAGCAACTCCTAATTAGATAGATTACTTTGTAGTGTGCAAAACTACCAAACAGGAGGTTCTGGTTAAATTAAGGGGGGGAGGAGAAGAAGAATCCATTCTGTGAAATGGAATGCCCCACTGCTTTATGACTATTACTGTTGTAAGGTTTTACATTAAGTACCTGAGGTTTAAAATTAAATGTCTAATATAATTTGGCGTTGCTAACATGAGACCCGCATCTGCCCTTAGAGGAAATCCAGACAGCTCAGTTCGGGGTTTCAAATTGCTGTCTGCTGGCTCTCGAGCAGCACGGAGGATTGGGTCCCTCTTCGGCGAAGCGCCACATGCTGCTCGGCATAATTTTTTAAATGCAGAAACATATTCATCTTCAGCTTCGGCATTGGAAGAGGCTGTTCCCGTAGTACATGAAAAATTAATTTTTTTACATTTTTCCTCACTCTCCTAAGTGTTTGACAGAAGTAATTTTTGCAGCAAGAGGGAATAAAAACTGGTGGCTGTAAATTCCTGTCCTGCAACCTCTTGTGTAGATTCTTTATGGACCCAGAATTGATCTACATGTCAGACCCTGTTGTGGTTTAAACTGTTTATCACCGTAATGGCAGCAGTGAGCCTGTGAACACCAACTTATAATCCTGGGTGAAAGAAATTGTTGTTTGCAGTCAATGAAGGGGCAGCTTAGCTTTATTGATAGATTCAGGACAATTATCTCTGCAACAACTATTGGCTGAGAGTTTTCATGAGTCTTATCGGGAGCCTGTGAATTTTTTTTTTTTTGATTAATCATTTTCTTTATAGGTCGTTTTCTCTAGAAGCCTTAGCCTAGAGTTTGCATTACTGAGGGTGTAGCAGGGGACACCAGGGGGTCGTTTGTACACACTTTCTTGTCATATCTTGCTCTGAGGCTAAATGCATTTTGAGATGCATCACACCTATGCCAGTGGACCCCCCGTGTGTGTGTCTGAGTGTGTTCAGGCCAGGGAGGCCTGCCACCCCGTCTCCCACCAGTGCCAGCCTTGGGCCTCAACTGTTGGTGCTGCCACGGCAGCCCTACCCCCCACCCCTCGGCTGTCAGGTTG